AAATTTTCACCTTAAAACCACTGCAAAATACATGAAAAAACAATTGGAAAACAATAAATACATGTTACAGTAGCCACTGAAGTGTTTTAATGTAGTTCCATGAGGTAAAAATGAATTTTTAATTTTAATTCTGTAGAAATAATAAAACGTACTAAAATAAGGGATTACCTAATAATTGTTTAAAAAATTAGCTTTATTCAAAATTCAACTATGCCATTGGTTTATTTTTACAAAAAGTTTACATTTTTTATCAAAGTACCTACAACTAGATACTTCGGTAACTCAAGGGAGACTACCACTTTTTGTGTATGGGAATTCGCAATCGGCGCCAAAAAATCCGAGTTTTTAATTTTCCGATGTGTGTGTCTATTTATTATTAAATTAGTACTTTCGATATATATATTTGAGTTCCGTTTTCGGCCTTATAATTAGGTAGACATCTTGGCCTACATTTTAATCAATTACTTTTTTCATTTACCATCAGTCAGCTTTGAGAAAATCCTTGGTAAATATAAGGCAACTTTCATCATTAAAATTAAGTCAAAGGAAAAAATTTGTCACTACCAAATTTTTTTTGCATCTGGGTAATCTATTGATCTACACGTATGCCAATTTTCACAGCGATAAGTGTCTTACGAGAGACGCCATGTTTCTACACGTTCGCAGCAGGTCATGCAGCTCGCTCAACCTAATTTCGCCATGGGGTTGGCCACGCCCCCTTTTTAATGGCTGAAGTTGACGATACTTAGGAAATATTAATTTATTATTACTATATACATCAAAATAATTGATAACTTCTGTTTCAGAATGCATTTTAAAGACATTTAAACTGGAATGTTTTAATTTGAGCTTTAACAACCGGGTAGAATCCATATTATAAATGATCAGAATTTACCGTGTGCAACACGTTGTCATTGGCAACCATTCACAGCCACTTGCATAATGGCTGTATCGTAGTACTACCTCAGAGTTTCATTCATAAGAGTTTGCCGTGTGCAAAAA